GCTCTTCTGCTCCCCCCCCCTTCTCTCGACTTTCATTCACCTTGATGTTCATTCCCTCTGTGAAGCCCGAAGTCAACTAAAGAGCTAATGATAACCATCAAAACGCCTGCCATTTGATATAAATAAGCTATCTTCAATGAAAAGAATTCACACTCTTTACACCACATCCTTACTGAGGACACGAGGCGCCCTTGAACAAAAAACAGTGGCCTCCTAATCAAATACCCCCCCCCCAACCGCCATCGACTAGACGAGGATGGACTCTGCGTAAATTGCTTCGATACAGTTGGCGAGGTGTACTTGGAATGTGGAATAACCCATCACGAATTGACAATATCTGGCCAAGCCTCTAGAGCCCGAGTTTATTACTGTCAATAATTGGAGAAGACTAAACCGGAAATAATAAAATAAACGCGCAATTTCATTGAACAGAAAATAGATAAATCTTCAATGCAGCAATGCCTGATACCAGAAAACAAGAATGATCTCCCACACAGAAATGTGGAAGCTATATTGATCTCCATTTTTGCCAACCCCCCCCCCCCCACCTATCCCAGTATCACCATTTTTGTCAGATCCACGTAACATACGCTTAGAGAGAAATGATCCTGAAATGCGAGCGAAGTCGAAAAAGTAGAGGGAACTACCATTAGGGTGATGAGAAATAGTTGTAAATGATGAAGTGAAATTAAATTAATGCACATAATTTAAAAATAAGTAAGATTTTAAAGTTATTTTTAAAATGCGTGATTTCTTATTGGCATCAGTGAGGTAGTATAACTTGCTAATCGAGGTAATTCTGCTCCCTCTCATTCGTTTCCATCTGACTCACCATCGCATTTTCCAATTGCCGCCCTGCTTTGAATAATGCCCAGTAAAACAAAAATATTAATTTTTAATAGGGGGTTAAAAGAAAGTTCGATAAATTGTATACGTGAGGTTATCGAATAGATTTCGAAAGTAAAGGCAGGATAGGAAAGAGTCATTGGATTTTTGGATTCGGGTTGCCCACAATTTTGGACAAATCGGTGGCTTGAGTGCCGAAATTCAAATGTCCCAATTCGCCCTCTGGGTCAAAACAAACAAATCTCCAGATTTTAATTGACATTCAACGAGCCCTCCCCCACAAACGGGTCAGCTATAGCTTCTAGGTTAGCAGAGCCCGTTGTTCTCAGACTCAGTCCCTTTCATACTCTACGATAGTAGATTTTGTGGAGTTTGAAATGAAACGTCCTCCCACCCCCTGAAGTGCCACCTTTTCAACTGCAGCCTACCTCCGATGACTGCCAATAATTTCCTCCAAATTCTAACTCATCAACTTTAATAGCTTTATAATGATCAGAACGAGCCAATTAGCAAAAAGACAGCTGTCTGAATAACCACATGCAGTGCCACAAAATCTGTGAAAAAATAATAATAAATGAGCCTTCGTGTGAATTCTGAAGCAAACTGAAGTTAAAAGGCATTCATCTCCGAACTTCAGTCCAATGAGTTTCTCCCACGCACTTTAACTAGCGGCTTAAATTTCTGCAAGCAGTTAAATCACTTTTAGCTTTTACTATCAGGTAGTATCCAGGTGACCTCAAAAGGCGGAGAAGCTAAGTTGTCACGACTGATACCTTATCCTCAATCTCCCCCCCCCCCCCCCGCCTCCAACAGACACACTCACACCCGCTCAATCATAGTTAAAACAAAAGTGATAGCGCATGAACAGACAGTCGGCTAGATTATGATGTAATGAACTACATTCAGAAAAAACAATCCCCAATGGCTCTGTTCTTATCTATTTGCGCCTGCTTTGAAGTAACCAACTGCTCTTTGTTTGTTTGTATGCTAACTAGGAAAAATATTGTCCAGTTTGCCATGATATGAGAATGAAAAGTTGAGTTGAAAGGGATTAATCAAAAGTTAATAAAACATAGCAAATGCATAATCATCAAAAGCTCCAATTTTTTTTTAAGAATAACCTTGAAACACGTTATAGCCAGCAATGAATGGGTAATCAAGGTAACCCCATTAAGTTGCAAAGAACACTACCACTGGAGATTTGGATGTGGGCCAACCGAAATCGGAACCAAGGAGCAGTGGCAGGCGGGGAGATGGCAAGCAAGTATGCACTAATTTGCATATTTGCGTGAAAGGCAAGTTAGAACAAGTGGGTAAGAGGGTAGATTTGTCATTAGCGCTTCATGGTTCACCTGTTAGACCACCATAAATCGTTGTGTACAATTCACTCTAAACTACTTTATTTATAAGCTCATGAGAGTGAAAACCACTACTCCTGTTAGCCTATCTACAACTGAATTAACGAAAATGCTGAGAATACGACATGCACAGGAAGAGGTCAAAGCGTCACTGCGGTGAATGGACTTGTGTTCCCAACACTGCGTGGTCAACACAAGCACGGATTTAGACTACTTAAATAACTTCGATCTTGGGAAATAGTAAGGCAGGAAGACTGCCAATCACATACCACTTCAGGCACCATTCATCCACTGTGACCCATCCAAATACTCTAAATGTAAGAAAAGAGAATATGTCAACGTCCCGCAAGCTCTAATCATTGTGCTCTATCAGCCATAAGAAGAGGAAAACGATTTGAATCGAATTGGCAGAACCGACGTTGATAATCAACCAACCAAACAACCATCAATCCCATTCGACAACATGAATGGGAATTTGCCCAGTAACCCAGATCTGGACAGACAACTAGAATCATGGCGATCATTAGAGACAGATAGCATTGATGAGAGTAATTTGTTATAGCAATATGAAGGTGTTTGCAATATCCCTCCACTCTACGAAAATTCCCACCGTAATTTTTGGATTGGAGGATGGTGCAAACCAAACGTACCAGCCGACTGCAGGACAATGCGATGCTCAAGGAAGACACAAGTCAAAAGCTGAATGAAGTTGTCGAAAGAGAAGAGCTGGAGGAGTTGAACCAAGGGATACTCAAAGACTGGAAGCCAATTCAATGGCAGGTTTCTGTCGTGATCATCGGGCAGCTGATTGACTAAAATAAGGGAAGGAAAAAAATTCATCATGTGTTCTCAGGTTGCCATAGCAACACGTCCCATAAAATGGCCACATTGAAAGCAAAAGGACCCATGGACCCAATGCAGTTGTTGGAACAATTTAATACAAGGACGAATGGCTAAGAAATATGTTCAGGATGCAACCAAACGAAAGAAAACAGCGGAATTGTTATGCAATTGTAAATACTGTCATCTCCATGACCCCTACTCATGCAATGGCTATTTGATAACAAAATAGTACTTATTTTGATGGAATCGAAATGAGACACATATGTGGCCTCTTTCTTACCCATCCAATTGATAGGACGACTTATCAGCACATAGGACACAGCCAGATTACAGTTGGCTTAGCCACACGGGGAATCGAAGAGACAGAATGTGATTAGGTAGCCAACGACGCTTTTATGACTGAACAAAGGCACGACATGGTTGTCGTTTGTGAAGTAAAACACCCTCACGCACTGATCACACTTTTATTCGCACACAACTGTCTAGTTGACAGGAGTGCTATGCGTTCACAAATCAGCGAGGGTGATGGGCGACCTAGAGACAATCTGCCGGAAGTGGTGGTCTCGAGACAACAGCATGACCACTGAAACAGATTCGTCTAGCAACAGCATATTTCCAACGTTTTAAAGTAACGCTAAGTAGGCCACATTGCATAAGGATTTTTAAGACCTTAATTAATACTAACATGTACGTAATAATAATGACCTCATCACATTTTAACTCGTTAATGGATTGCCGCCTTTCGCCTCAATTTTCACTTGACATTGTATTGAACCATTTTATCGATTACACACTTTGGAATCCTCTACGTAGACATAAACAATTATCCGTCAATTTTCTCAGGCGCTTGACATTTTTAATCCAAACAAATTCAAGAGGAATCAAGTTAAACCTTATCCCCCCCCCTCCGGCTTTGAGAGCCTCGGGGTTTCATCCCTTCATATTGAATATCCCCCTTCTCAAAACTCCGTCTTATGTTAATAATTGCCATACCCCCCCCCCCTTTTGTGCAAAACAAATCAGAGCTAATTGAAGTAGTATTTCTTACTCCAAGAGACCTCCACTTATTGACTTCCTGACAAATTTCCAAATCTCTCGTCACAGTTATGGAAACATTTCAAAAATAAACTTAGAAAAGGGAGTTGCACTATGAGGCCTATTGAGTGAGTATCTTTAACCCTGTCACTGTGTATCGGAGGCGAAATGGTCATCACACTCATTCACTAAGGTAGAGATCACGAGTTCCGTTTTCATCGGAGCATCCGCAGTAAACAAAATAAACAACCAAATAGGCCATATATGTGTGTCTAATTTTTATTTACATCAATTGCCAGACTTTGGGATGGTCATCAATAGGCCTTTAGTTATCTTCGGGCTTCACAGAGGAGAGGAACAACAAAGTCACAAAACAGTGGAGAGAGGGAGCAGAGGAGTGACTCACAGATGTAAGAGACAGACGCAAAGGTAGAGAAAAGGGTAAGGTAAGATGAGTACGGTGAAAGTGGTTGAATATGACAAAAAGTCGGGTCATAGTAGTTTGAAGTCAGAAGCCAACTGCCAGTTAATAGATTTCTTTACCGTATGAGTATATGTTTTCATGGCTGCACCATGTGGAGGTAAATCTATCTCACACCCCATATTTGGCTAATGTAGGGGATAACAGAATTAAAGTCTCTCATCAGATAAGATCATGTTACCACTTTCTAAACAAATTAAACATTGGAAAACTATTCTGCCAATACACTTGGGAATTCCCATTATTACCCCTTTCACAAAGCATAATTGACAAATTTAACCATGGCAATAAGACATCCCAGGGGGCATCAAATGCATGACATGAATTTACGTTCGAGACCGCCTATCACCACGTCCCTAGATCTCCATCAAGCTGCTATGGGTAATTTCGCCCACCGTCTATTAATTCCCTCATTACTTTTGAAGTCAATCTATATCGGTAACTTGTGGGTAGTTTTTGTTGCAAACCAAGCAGTTTACCATAATCGATTTAATCGAACACGCATATTCAGAGACATCGTCATCAAATGTTGCGTCAATGGAGAAATAGAGGAACTGAAATAAGGGTTTAGGCATACCGACTTGACGGATAACAGATCGATAGAGCAGACTCTCGTTGTCAATGGCAGGCCCCAATCATGATCAGTTAATTCTCATATGGAAATGGCTGTGCTGTGACAAGGGGGCTCTATGAATATACAAGCGCTGACTTTAAAATTCCCTGTTAATGAACCAAGGATAGCCTCATGGCCTGATCAAATGAATTGATTTTATAAACTAAATAATTTATTCACAGTGCTAAAACAACTTCAAACATTATTTTATTGGGTCTTACCGGGGCGAAAGAAGTAATGCAGACTCGAGGGTCCGGACACAATACTGCACTGTCCAGGATCCGCCAGTTGCGATTCAAACAGGAGGTTGTAGACATACGACTCCAAAGTGATTTCATTAGGCAGCTCATCAGCCTTATAGACACTGGCCCACAAATCTTCTAGCCAACAGAAAAATCCATTTGCAAAAGCCCACCTCGAGAGGATTCCAATGGCCTTCATTGTGAAGAAGTGTCGTTCAGAATTCTCATCTGGAAGGTGGCATCCAAGCGCCTTCTCCTGTTCACGAAGAGCTGCCTTGACAGAGGGATGGGTAACTTCTTCAGGAAAGAGGAGAGCGTAACCAAAGACACGCAGGCCATCCTCTCGAGTGATGATGAATGAATGACGAAAGGGGGCCTGGGCTTTTTGCAGAAGGGGATGATCACCGGTGAAGAAGCGCAGGCCATTTGGCATTACAACCTGCATTGAAGAGAATTGGGCATTTGATGGGTGAAACAACTGAGGTTATAACTAAGTTACTGAATTTCAGCAATTTGAGTGGACCTCAAATTTACTGACTTGCTGTAATCTTTAAGCTAAACACACATAAGTTCGTCAGTTCGTTGGAAAGACTTTGTTGCTAGCATGAATTGAAGGCTAAGGTTTTTGGCATGCAGATCCATTCAAGATGGTGAGAGATTCAACTTCTTAGTAAGTGAATGGAGCAAGGGCATATTAGATATGCAAATATGCTTGCATAAGAATAATAAAGGTTATTTAGGGGAATTACAATCATAGACGCAAGGAATTGGTAATACGAAAGGTTGCTGAAAACCCTAGCCTGAATATTGTGGAAAACTGGAAAGTATGTTTAGTGGACCCCAAAGTTATTGACATGGTGTAACCTTTAAACTACGCACAAAACAGGTCGTCAATTACAACACAGTCGAATCTCTCACACCCGTCTGGCATATGTACCCATGATTCGGCAATTCTCCGTCCACAACGATCACGTTTTTGGAGAGTTTCGTGAAAGTTAGGTGTGTTCGAAATCCTCAAACACTAAAAGAACTTATGGGCACATATAACGAAGAAATGAGTTGATCAATAGGAGACAGACAATATAAATCATAGCTGCATTGGTCGCGTTTCGTCTTGGGTCCATCACCTCAAGCAGATTGTTTCTAGATCGCAATCACCCTCGCTGATTTGTGAACGCATAGCATTCCTGACAACTAGACAGTTGTGTGCGAATAAAAGTGTGATCAGTGCGTGAGGGTGTTTTACTTCACAAACGACAACCATGTCGTGCCTTTGTTCAATCATAAAAGCGTCTTCGCCTACCTAATCACATTCTGTCTCTTCGATTCCCCGTGTGGCTAAGCCAACTGTAATCTGGCTGTGTCCTATGTGCTGATAAGTCGTCCTATCAATTGGATGGGTAAGAAAGAGGCCACATATGTGTCTCATTTCGATTCCATCAAAATAAGTACTATTTTGTTATCAAATAGCCATTGCATGAGTAGGGGTCATGGAGATGACAGTATTTACAATTGCATAACAATTCCGCTGTTTTCTTTCGTTAGGCTGCATCCCGAACATGTTTCTTAGCCATTCGCCCTTGTATTAAATAGTTCCAACAACTACATTTGGTCCATGGGTCCTTTTGCTTTCAATGTGGCCATTTTATGGGACGTGTTGCTATGGCAACCTGAGAACACATTTCAGTAAAGTGCATCACCTAAGGTGTGGCGAATTTTGGAGTGGATATTTGCTCATTAATAAAACCTGATTTTTTTCCCTCCTCTTATTTTAGTTAATCTGGATTACTGGGCGAATTCCCGTCCATGTTGTCGAATGTGCTGAATGGGCGGTTGCTTGGTTATCAAAATCCATCTTAAAACTTCAATTCGTTTTCTTCTCCAAAGAGTTTCGACTTTATCAACTAAAGAGGCTACGTGGGTTTTAGATTTTTGCAATAAAAGGTTTCCAAGTTCACAACATTCATGACTCATTGACAAACACATCACAGAGTTTCATAGAACTTTATCAAAAAATCCGTCAAATTTAGATTCATTTGGGTATTTTTCAACACCCAACTTGGTTGAATTGTTGTGAGTTATGCATATAAAAATAGTTTATCCCGATAATCTGTGACGGTTTTCATTTCTAACAAGATTAATGAAGATTTTTGATGCAGGAAATTTGGAAAAATTAACGTAGGACAAAACTTGAATTACAATCATGAGAAAAGTTAAAATAAAGTAATAGACTTAAGCAATTCGTGAGCATCTAAAAAACTCAACGAAATAATTTTACGATATCAAACTTTGCATATTCAGCAATTTTAGATTTGAAACAGAAAATGTAGACAAATTAAAAATACCAAGGCTGTTGATTCGTCTGAGAAAGGAAAACTCCGATTGTGCTCCGGAAAATGTTGAAGAACATGGCACTTATAAGCAAATTGAGCTATGCTTAATGGTGCCTCGGTAAAATGTTTTGTCTCTATAGTAAGAAGAAAAAGTTATTGCAGAGTCAAAATGGTCGATGGTAAGAAATGGTTGTCTTATTATTGGTAAAACCAAGAAATGACAACAGAAACAATTAGTTATTTTACTCGTAAAACGTAAAAAATCAGAAATGATTAAAATATATTACTCACGCGTGAAGTAAGATTGCAATTTAATTTCAGGATTAAGACCCGCTATGAAGAAATAATCCGCTATAGAATACATGACAGCTGGTAAATTAATAATAAAAACAATAGGTGGGATCTGATGAAAGTCGTGACCCGACTTATCAAGCTGATTGGCTTGTTTATGTTGCGCACACTAATAGTCAGATGAAAGGCCAAGACTATGACAAATTATGAGTTAAAACAATATAAGCAATGCAAAATATAAGTTAATGCATTAAAGAAGAAACTTAATTTTTACAATTTTTAATAGGATACATTTGTATGGTTTTTTTGATTTACGTTTGCATAAAAAGATTATATCGAATTATTATCACTCAAAATTTGTTTTCTGAATAAAGATTTCTACGTTATTCCAAATTATTCTAATTCATAAAAATATCTTTCCATAGTTGCGTTCTAATTTCGATGATATTGGACGAGCTCATTTTACATATCACTCACCATGGAGCATAGAAACATTTCCGCGTTGTTTAAAACTATACTTGACGTGATTAATGGGTAATTTAGATAATTTTCCTCTTTAGCTATGTCCGAAAAAATGCAATGTGCAGCTCTAAGTGAATAATGTTTGATTTCGGGAAAATTTATGTGCCTTCAGCTGCCCAAAATTAAGAAAGCACACCATTTCATAGAGCTTCTGCACCCTAAAAACAAATTTTGTGTATTTAATTCTCAGTATTTCCCAAATATTTTAGATTTAGGCAGAAAGAGTATCCTTGTAAAGCTACCTGGTTGCCATTGATTATTGATAGATACTTGTATCCTTGTGTACTAATCGGCTTCTTATGAAACCGTACAAGCGCTATTTGTGCAGTACGGTGGATATTCATGGGGATATCAGTTTATTGAATTTGGTTTAACACTCATCAAAGTTTAAAATGTAAAAGACTAGGTTTCCTTGGAATAATCTTGCGTAGCAAACCAATATTAAAGCTCGGTAACCTAGCAATTTAACACGGAAATTTATAATCCCAGTTACAGCACATAATGCGTTGCGGTTAATTCACAGTATCGATTTAACCTAGTATACATAAATCTAAAGTGCCTTTTTTCTAGGAGAAAATATGAAGTAATTTATTTTTTTAGTTGATGATCGTAAATCGATAGGGCTATAGAAATTATTATTCCTTCTAGCACTGGTGCCACAATTTCTAAAATTTTTGAAAACGGAGCCAAATCGCATAAATCAAGACATTAGCTAACAGCAAACAGCTGTCGACAACACATTAAAAACAAATAGTTTGTAGGTCATGATGTATTCATGAAATTAAGAGAGTAAGGGAGAGAGAACGGAGAGTAGATGGATGACGTAGACAAGGACAAATAAATTCTGAGCGCATCCGCATATATGTGAGAGTGGAAATTTAATTACAGTCTACTTGAATTACTTGGGATAGGAAGCGCATGAGTGTAGTTTGAGATAAGGTGCAGTCATAAATGGTGTTAAAATCAAAAATAATTGCAAAAGAATCTAACGGGCTTGTTTCTTATCTTATATGCTCCAATCAGAGGCTTCAATGCAGATGGGACCAATGACGCTGACCGAGTATAGATCAACGATATGAACACCAATTGGAAAAATTCATAGGAAGTCATGAACGGCAAACATTTACTAGAGAAGTTGGTTTTCTCCCTGACTTTCCAGACTCTGTGACTATTCTGTGAGCATCGTATTTATCCCCGTCCCTGTATTTAGGCAATTCTGGTCATGAAATTGCCTCTCTCCTTCCAATAATGTTATTGTCTTTAATACACTCTTCACTAAACTTTGGTAACATAACAAAAGTGGGCTCATTTGGCATAAATGAACCATAGAACCATGGAATAAACCCCACTGTAACACGGTAAACCCCTTGCCATCTTTGTACCTCATCAGAGCTAACTTTGACCCTTCTACCAATATAACGCTTTTGCGCAATCTGCCCTACGCAATACTTCAGTTATTCACCATCATTGGAATACTATGGCTCCAAGAGACAAACCAGCCACTGGTTTGCTTCTATGAATTTTCTTCTATCTGGCTGTTCAGCAGAAAAAAAGGGTGCAAGTATTATTTAAAAACAAAAAAAGCCATCATTAAAAAATTTGATCTCGACTCCGTGAGATCAAGGATGCGCAGCCATATGTGCTATATGAAGTAGACAGACGAAATTTTGATCCTCCACAAACTCTGATAGTAGCCAAAGGGAGTCCTATACCAAATTTGCTGTCGCTTTGTAGACCATTCTCACAAGTGTAACGGGGAACCAATTTTTACCTTAGGATCAAGGACGTCTGGTTTCAATTCCTTTAAATGTGCAAGCTTACTCTCCAGCCTTGGGAAATGGTTTGAAACTTCTTGAACACCCGGGTATTGAGAGTTTGTTTAGACAATCACATGCGCTTATACGGCCATAGACGCACAATCAACCAAGAGTCCATCCTTCCAGAAATCCAAGGCTTAACCAAGAAATATATAGTGATCACACACTTGCAACCCTAGGAACTGATATGTTCTACCGATAACAATAGGAATGTCGTCAAGTGGATTCCTAGTGGATACAGAAACTGCATTTTCTATAGTCTCGACTAACCAGTTAGATTTCATCATCTCAGAATTAAACACTGGTGTACAACCTTTCCTAACAAATCACAAATTTTCACCTTCATCACTTGTTCCTTGAAATAGGAGGATGCTTTACGAATGAGGATGCCAAATGTCTCGAATGATAAAACTGGGAACTGCCGAGTATGTGAAGTTTGCCACTTCAATCTCAACCAAATAGCTACCTTACCCAAGATTCGATAAACAGTCGGAATTAGTATCAACCCCACTTAGGAGAACAGACGCCACTCTTCAAAATGCGGAATATCAATCACTAGCTATCTGCAGGAGATAAGAAGGGAATTTGGAAGCCTTAACAAGTTCCAGAACAGTAAATTTGAAATATACCGGACTTCCAAAGAATTTGCAGTAACGAAATGAAATGTCTTTTCTATGTGCTTTGTCTCACTTGTTAAAAGATGCCAATATTCGATTCGACACCCTTGAAGGTAAGGAAAAGAAGTACAGCACCACAATCTCAGATATTGTTATGGAATGCCACTAGATCGAGAATTTGAAGAATCTCAAAATGCATTACAAACCATAGCTTCTTGGTATTGTAATGAATGCTGTTTCTCCCTGGTCTGATCATTCAAGCTTAGTGGACCATAAGGGGTGGAATTCACCTCAGAAAGGTGCCTAAACTCAAACAGTCTTGAAAAAATTCTGAAAATTTTTAAAAACAGGAGTAGATAAAAATGTGCTACCAGCGTGAACTTCTGTGGAATTTAGCTGTAAATCTCAAAAACGAAGGAATATATGCAATGTGACAAGTTTTGCCAATTTTGAGAACAAACGCAAATACGATGATCTGAATAGTAGTGTAAATATAATCAACATACAACTAGGTGAGGCTTTAGATATCTTCTTCACCTGACTGGAAATTAGAAGCCTCCCCCCCCCTCACCCCGACGAAGTCTAACCTCATCTCCATCCATGTTACTTAGTCAAGAAGCCTGCTCTTTGCAAGTCAAAGTGGGTGCCTAGTCTGCAATTGAGACCCTCAGTATATCTATTTATCATAAAATGCCAGGCTTTATGATAGTTATTATGGGTTTGTGCGATAGACTTACCTCCACGTGGTGCACCCTCAGCAGCGCATACTCAGTCCGCTGAAGGTCTGTAAACTGACAGTTGACTTCTGACTTCAAATTACCATGACCCCACTGCATGTCATATTCCACCACTTCCTAAGTACTCACCTAACCTTTTCTCTACCTTTGTGTCTGTCCCTTTTACACCTGTGAATCACTCTTCTGATCCCTCTCTCTGCTTTCTGTGACTTTGTCTGTTCCTCCCCTCTGTGAAGCCCGAAGTCAGTTAAATGACTACTGATAACTATCAAAACGCCCGCCATTTGAAATAAATAAATGATAGTTACCATTAGTCCTATAGCTGACTTCGGGCTTTACAGAGGGGAGGAACATCAGTGTAACTGCAAATGAAAACCCCTACATATTATGCCTGGACAGAATACAGGAACCTTATCTAACATACCTATCAGCCAGTGAAATAAATAGTGAAGAGAGGTTTGCCTAAATAACGTCATGACAAGAAGACGATTCAGGTCATAGTTCATGCACTGAAGAAGACATCAACTAACTGATTATCACCGATTTCGTGACCTCAAATCCAATATATCCTCGCCTCAACACGTTTAGCTAAAGGAAAAGCCAGTTCAAAAGAGGGTGGAGGTGGAATGCGATCAAATTGAATATCTTCAGTTCATTCGAACAACTACTCTAAGATTGCACTCCGTGAATGTGGTAGTTGACACCTCATGTACGAAATATTTATTTATTATTTCAAATGGCAGGTGTTTTGATAGTTATCATTAGCCATTTAGCTGACTTCGGGCTTCACAGAGAGGAGGAGTAACATCAAAGTGACAAAAAGTGGAGAGGGGTGGGGGCAGAATAATGATTCACAGATGTAACAGAGACAGACAAAAAGACAGAGAAAAGGTAAGATGAGTACTGTGAAAGTGGTCGAAAATGACATACAGTGGGATAATGGTAGTTTGAAGTCAGTAGTCAACTGCCAGTTAATAGACTTTTTTGCCGTATGAGTATACGTTGCCCAGGGTGCACCACATGGGGGTAAGTCTATCGCACAGCCCTCCTAAATGTATCATAGTATTGATATTATTGGTTCGGCCGATTATTTTTTCCAACGAATGGGAATTTCGATCCTGTAGAGCGTCGAAAATGATTTTATGCAGTTACTGAACCAAAACTATTTCCCCTTTAATGTGAGCGGCTAGAATTTTTCTCGAATTTGAGTATTGCGCGGTCTGTTGGGAATGTTTCCAATTTAAGCAAGTCAATTGAAATGTGCTTGCACTAAATTTCCTCAATAACACTGTCATGCTTGAGTTCGAAAGCGTTTTTACATTTCATTATATGCGTTATAACAAGATGATTTGTGTGAAATGTATGTCAGTAATGTGGACCTAGTGTTTCCTTAGCTGCACAGAGGCGATGGAGTACATTGTTCAATAAGCAAATGCTTCCTTATGAAATGTCAGTCATGCTTGGTCGTCATGAAGTAAACAGAACTTATGGTCACCGTCACAAATCTTAGCCCTGAAATGCAGTTAGTGGTACGATTGCTGATGTGCTGAGTGGCCTTTGAGCACACTTCATCGCTGATTGATTGGTAGCATTTTTCCGAGTGTTCTAGAGCGCATGTTATTGTGGTCTTGGATAGTTTCCATCTTTGTAATTAGTGCAATTAGTAAAGAAGTCTGGATTTCGATGACATGCTATAGTAACAGAATATATATATATATATATATATATATATATCAATTTATTACTTCAATCTTTTCCGCTCTCTACAAACCAGACACAATCGATCCCTTTTAAGCTTTATATGAGGGGTGCGCAATAGACTTATCTCCACGTGGTGCAACCTGGGCAACGTATACTTATGGGCAAAAAAGTCTATAAATCGGCAGTTGACTTCTGACTTCAAACTTCTATAACGCGAGGATTTGTCATATTCGACCCCTCTCACTGTACTCATCTTACCTTCTTTTATGCCTTTGTTTCTGTCTGTCTGTCTCTTTACCTCTGTGAATCATTATTCTGTCTCTCATCTCGACTTTTTGTCACTTTGATGTTCCTTCTTCTCTCTGTGATGCCCCGAAGTCAGCTCCAGGGTTAATGATAACTTTTTAAACGCCTGCCATTTGATATAAATAAATAACCTTATATGAAAAGTATTTCTTCTGATACACTAATTTCACATTTTCAAAACTGATAAAACTATTATTATTATTAGTATTAATGGTGATAACTTCGGGAAAAGTACATTTATTAAAAATCTAATGGTTTTAACTCCGTTGGATAAATCGACTGGCCGGTAGGTAAGCAGAGACCCACGTCACAAGTCCACAGACAGTGAATTATCGCCTCATCGAAGAAATACCATTGGCGGCCAATACTTGCCGGAGAGAAACCATTATTGCATTTTCTTTAAATCCAATATATTCGAAAATTGGACCTCATCAAAAAAACCCGGCCTACTGGACTTCTAACTTTACTCCGAAATGGACATGGTGGGGAAATTTCAAATCTTTAACTAAACATCCATTCTTTGGGATCCTAGCTACCCATCGAGACGTGCAGTTTTAAGCGTGGATGAGAATAATGTTGATGATGAAGAACCGGGTGTGGGATAGACTTACTTCCCCGTGGTGCACCCGGGAAACGTATAATCATACGGCAAAAAATTCTTTTAACCGGCAGTTGATTTCCCACTTCAAACGACCATCACCCCCATTTTATGTCATATTCGACCCCAACACAGTACTCATCTTACCCTTTCTGAGCCTTTGTGTCTGTCTCTTTTACATCTGTGAATCACACTTCTATTCCCCCTCCCAAATTCTTCTCACTTTGATGTTCCTCCTCCCCTCTGTGAAGCCCGAAGTCAACTAAAGGGCTAATGATAATTATCAAAACGCCTCCCATTTGTTATAAATAAATAAATGATGAAGAACCTGGATACCACCTCAGGTATTATGAAAAACCAATATCTAAATGCTAAAAGTAAAGTGGTCAATGACTAAAATTTCCTATACATCACATTACTAGGGGTAATAAGAAACTGAAATTACTGCACACTTTATGGTCATATTCACAAACAATAAGAGGGTGAGGAAGGGACAGCTGAAGGGGTTTGATGTGTACACATAGAAATCTATTCTTTCTGCTTCTTAATGTCCGAGGGCGGGGGTTTGAATGCTGCCGCACGTTTCTCCTGTTGGCGTTTCCGAGAAATTTGCTCCGATGTTGTGACCTTTTCAGTCCTCTTGTGACTTTGTTTCTCCGCCTCGTTCAAGAAGTAAGTGCCCTTCTCCAAGGCGATATCCACCTTCGACTTTTGGATCGGTGGTGGGAATGGTGTGTATTCCTGCTTCTTTCTCGACTCCTGCAAAGATTAACAAAAATAGTTGAGCCATATTGATCTAGACAAATGACCGTTGCAGACGCAATGAGAACCTACTATAACTTATCGAACCTGGTAATTGATAGGAAGCCGACAACGCAAATTGGCTAACTTTAACAGCAATTTCGCTGATATACAGTGTACAGTGAACGGGAAAGAATATTCCAATTAATTCTGCATGACGACTTCTTCAATTACGCATGTGTTTCGTATTTCCTGGCTAAATTGATGCATTCAGATTCGTAAATTTTCGAAATAACCAAAAACGTCACATATGTATTAGCACTCGAATGGTTTATGTACGTTTTGAACGCAGATCTAAAAGTGCATGACGAACAGACTACTCAAAATACACCTCATTTCCATTATAAGACGTAACCAATTACTTTCTCAACTTCTAAATTTAGGGGTTATCACTTTAGTTACGTGGGAAATTGAGGGGCTAAGCATCCAAAGATGCTCGGAGTAGTAGTATACAATCAACAGGACCAAAATAAATTAAAATTACCGCCTACTTCATCTGGTGGTTGATAATGAATGCCAAAGGCAATAAAGCAAAAAAAGAACGGGCAACGCACCTTGAATGGTTTCCTGCGCTTGCTCAGAGTCTTCTTTTTAATTTTCGGTAAGAACTTCTCCCAAGAAAGGTTCTTTTTAGAGGGATCGGACATTAATTTTTGAAGAATTACAAAACGTTTAATATAATACACTGGATGAATGTTGTCGTAAATGCACGCGTTCACCACCTGTCGAACCTAAAAAGAAGAAACAAATTGGAGTGGAAATGAGAAACTGATAGATTAGTAGTGTGAAAAATATACTTAGGTCCCGCTAAAGTAATGAATAAATCTCAAAATCATAAAAGGAAAGCGTTTTTTCACACTTTCCTGAGGTGTTAGAAAACCTTTCTAACCCCGTTAAGTAGTCAGAGCAAGCTAATGCGGCCGGACATTCTGTTCGTTGGAAATGCACCAGTGGATAGAAACCCGATTAGCCGACAATTGATTTGACGAACCCAATAAAAACATCCAAACTATGGCAGTCAAATTAGAGACCAGTAATACACACCCAGTGAAATAAACCAAATCGGAAAAGGCTACAAAAGAAGAATGATACGAAGAATGGCCGATCCCTGTGATAAACACAATAATAGTACGAGTGTGTTCAATATAATGGAACTACTGAAAAAGAAATCTGGCAACTAAAAATGATCACTTAATATGGCGAAATGAATCTCGAGTTCATGATTCCTCATCTCAGAAGGCTGTATTACTGTAATCTGCAGCATAGATTCTTTAAATCATTGCTACCTTGGATAAAATAATAATAGCTCATAAAACACAAAGTTCACGTATACACAAAACTAGAAAATTATTACAAATAAAAAATTAAAATTAAAGGTAAAACAGAAGATTAAATAGCAATTTCTGTAATTTAAAGAAGACACAAACCTTTTTAAGACCTTCATAAGGACCGACCGCAGCAACAGTTTTGCCCTGAACCAAAATATAACACTTTGTTGAGATTTCAATAGCTTTCAACGTGTGTCCTTCCTCCCCAATTAAACGACGTCTACGCTTGATGTATTTATCACGATTCTGTAGCTTGATTTCAATAATATCTGAAAATGTATCATCATCCAAAACCCGCGAGGCAACGTCCAGGGGGACAGATCTGGCCAAGAGTCGAATCATATCTCTGGCTTTCAAGATAATAAACGGATCGAAGGTCTTCAATGTTGTATGCACAGACATTGTTGATTCACCAAGATTTAACTCAGCTTTTATATGCTAATAATAATAAAGATAAGCTGCTACAATTTATACTTACATGTTCACGGAGTATTTTTTCCACTGCAGGCCATACATGTTGAATATACTTTTCACGATACTTGGGGAAAAGTGTTCCAAATGTGGATTTAGAAAATAAGCGACCGTTTGGATTATCTTCTAAGTTGAATTTGGGTTCTTTCCAATTTTCAGGAACATCAACGCGCTCAGACTTTTCGTCGAACTCTTTAAGAATTTCTTCCTCTAAAATAGTTATAGGAGCAAAAAGATTAAAACGTACTATTTTTCGAGAAAGGCTTATATGGCACCCAACCATCGACGCTAGGAAACTCCTGCTTGCGATTAGGACCGCGTTTCTGCATCGTGTACCCTGAGAAAATGAAACGCTGCGCACAACAAAGTTGCCCATTAAAAAACCTATTCGTTATTTTTCAATAATATATTAAATCAAAAGTCTTTAACTTTTAGCCTTTTATTTTTCATTTTTCATATATTTTGATTACAATCTGAGAGTAAAATAGAAATAAGGCCTCATGATTGCTCAAAACCCTATCGATAAAGCTACCTCTCAGACGATCAGCGCGTTAACTGCATTCATTAACTCTTGCATTATTTAAATTCCAAAATCTAACCCATGATATTTGAAACTAATAACTTAACGATCGTTATATTTGTTACTTTGTTACTTTGCTTTCACCTTATATGCCCATCTTTTATTAATACATGTCAGCGAAGAGTTGCTTCGCTATTAATAGTTTCTGATCTATTCTCTTTTATTACATCAAATATCATTAAACTAGACTTTTCAATGCAAATCTATTTTATTCGAATTTTTAGGATTTTGCAGACATAGTGTATTGATAATTAAAAATTAGCTTGTTTGCCAGCTGATATAGATATAAATTCAAATGTTTTTGACTTATTAAATATGTTAATCTTGTATGTTTTCTAATAACATCCTAGAAATAAGTATTACCGGCATTAAAATCTAATCGCTATTGAACTATCACCTTTTAGATTTTTGAAATATTCCAGTTGTTTAAGCCAATTTTTGCCTTTTAATAGCCTGAATTTAATCTTCTTGAATGCTAATGTGGGTTTTTGAAGAGTTGCTTTTATACTTTTCGAAATTTTTCATTCCCATATATGAGAAGACTTCTCAACTTACCAGCAATTAAAATACATTTTAATTTGCGTTGAATACATTTATTTGCAGACTGTTTGCCTTAGGTCATAAACACTTTTCTCTTCATGTTTTCTTTTTCCCTGGCGCTGTTGAGGTAGTTTAGTTAATTCCGTGAGCAATTTAATGTTGGGGGATTTTGCCAGAGTGGATTTTTAAGGTTTATTCATGGCTTATTTGCGAAGTATTCGTTACTTGAAAGTAAAATGGTAAATACGACCTCAATTCATGGTGGTATTTTCCTTAAATCGCGTACTTTTAGCTTCTAATTGACCTTAAATAGCATACCGCTATCTGGCATAGTGAACTTTGATTCGAAGGATAAAAATCAAAATTCTTCTTAAGTCCTAATTTCATCTGAAAAACCTGGTTACTTTCGGCCAAGATGTCTTTGGCATTATGAACTCAAACCCTTAAATATAATGTCTAGAGAGGGTTGTCGATTAGCCATTTACCGTTAACTTGTTTGCTTCATTCGAAAACGCACAACATTCCAACACTCGCAGACATTTTCATCCGTCTTACTCTCTGAAATGATTTTTCCCATCCTTAAGAGCTGACGCGTTTGTCGTTTACCCGTTCGTACACTTCATTTCCCATCCTCCCCCCCCCCCCCCCGGTGTTTAATCGCCTTTCTCTATTTGTCGACTTGTTTCGCATTGGGGTTAATTCAGGGCACATTTGCCAATGCAAAAAATGTGCGTTTTGATTTTTGGGAATTTTATTTGATTTCGTCGTCTGCTGCCCATTAAACTTCGTTCTTAAATCAGTGCCATCTGGCCTTGTTGCTTCAAAAGGATGGATAAGTGCAACTTTAGCCGTAGTTAGAACGTAACAAATCAATTTTATCGTACCAATATAAGCTAAGAATAATGTCCAGGAGAAAGCCAAAACAAAAGATATATGCACTAAACACCAAGAAATTCCCCTCGAATTTCTTCCGACTTCAAACTGAATGCCCACGAGATTGGGCATTGAGTCCAAACGCATATTCCCCCCTCTTTTGAACGTAACTTTAATGGGAAAGGCAAAATGTCCACTCACAATGTGCCAAACCTCTAACTCGGCCGTCTAATTACGCTCAAAGTCAATTAGCTTGTTAACTGATAAACTTCGATCTGCACTAATTGGTGTTAATTAACTCACTTAAAGCCCAAACAAAACATTTTGATCGCATTATTGGATTTTCATTTGATCTCATCGCACGCGTAGTCAGTTATTACGAGTACCTGCACATCTTGACTGAAGTACAAGTCTCCTCAC